GAATCTCTCTGCCCACCCCCACCCCTTCCCTTCATCGAGCGGAGGGAAAAAGAAGGCGTGTATATGGAAGAGAAGGAGGAGGGGAAATGTTGGTGTCTCCTTCTCCCTGGAAACCCTGGAGGGACTGAGGTGAAAGTGAAGCAGCAGGAGAGAAAGTTTCCTTGCCGGAGCGAGGAGCGAGGGATGTTTCTGGAGCAGCAGCAAGAGCGGCGGCGGGTTGTGCTGGTGCCGCATTGTGTTTGCTGAGGCTCCTCCTGGGCGGTGGGGGCTCAATAGAGTCCTACGAGGAGGAGGAGGAGGAGGAAGCAGCAGTCAAGCAGCCTCGATTCGCCCACCTCCGCCAGTGCATCCTTTTAGTCGGCAGGGTGTTGCGTGCTCGCCCTCGCTCACTCCTCTCCGGCCTCCGTGCAATGTGAAGCGTGCCCACAACCCTGGTTTCCCAAGGACTCGAGCATCAGCCTAGTACATGCATCCGATAATCATCTTCTCCTACAAAATGGATTTTAGCCAGAACAATCTGTTTGGTTACATAGAAGATCTGCAGGAACTTACTATTATCGAAAGGCCAGTACGCAGAAGCTTAAAGGTATGCCTGTCTGTCGGTCTAATTTTTTTTTTTTTTAATAAAGACTATACCTTCGAGTCAAACTGCATTGGTCTCGGATAAGAATCGGTTCTGCGGGCTCAGCTTGTTTTAAATTGAAAAGATGGTTTGCACGGATAAGGCACTGAATGGCTCTGGCAATAGCATATTGCTTCCAGAGCAGAGATTTGAGTCATAAGGGTTGGGAATTCTAGGTGGCAACTATGCAACTTTGATTTAAACACGATTTTTTTCCTTATATAATTCGGGATCTTTTTTTCGTTTCTGGTTGTGAAGCTATAAAGTAGATATCCCCCCCAGCTGTTGGTGATTAAAAAGTAAATTGCCTGTTTGAGATATTCTGATTATAAAAACCCAGAGGCCTCAAGTCAAAACCCATCGGCCCTCAAGCAGTTTCATAGACTTCCAGGAGACGTGATTTAAAAATGACTGCCTGTCATTCTGATCCAAAGAAAGGGACAGGAGAAAAGTAAATGCTTAGCATACACAAAATCCTTGTCTTTGCCATCTCTAGCAGAGCCTAAGATTCTTATCTGAGACTTTGGAGAAGTGTTGTCAGTTGCTATACATAATACTGTACTAGGGTTAACGGATCCGGGGTTTAACTCATATAAAATTAGTTCATGGACAATTAAGCAGAAAGACTTAAAATTGTTTCCTGTTGCCATTTCTTTGATTTCATCTACTCTACTGTAACTTAGTTGTCTTTCAGTTTCTATTATGTAATTATCACTTCCATTCTAAGCACCCTTACTTTGGAGTAAGTCATACTAGTCCTCATGATTAGCAGTGGAATCTTGTACATTGGTTGGACTCGAACTTAAGTCATTATTAAAGTAAATGTAATGAAAATAGTGAGGCGAGTTAGGAATAAGTTGTTTAATATCTTTAAGTGTGATTAAATCTGCATTCAGCCCATGTCTACTCAAATGTAAGTTCCACTTAGTTCAGCATTGATTACTCCTAGGTAACTGTCTAAAGTATTGTAGCCTAAGTATATTTATGACATTGGCTCTAGGATTGGGGGCAGCAGCAGTAGATGTTTCACTACCATGTTTTAATCTGTCACTAATGTCCATTTTGAACTTGACAGACACCAGAAGAAATAGAGAGATTGACAGTCGATGAAGAACTCAATGATATTGAAAGGGCTGTTTATCTACTCAGGTATTCTTTCAAAAACTGTTGTGGAGCTTTTTATACTACTTTTAAGATGTTATACATTTCCATCTCCGCACTTCCTGTATTCTTAGTTTTTTTTCTTTTTAGAGGTTTTGAGTTGGAATAATATCACAGAAGACTGTTATGTTAGTTATTACAGAAAGATTCCATTAAAAGTAAACAAGAGCACAGGGAAGAGATGTTTTTGTATACATGCCTTTCTATTAAGGTCCTCCACTCTGGTGAGTTGACCTGCAAGTTTTTTGAAGGGTCTCCAGATGGAGTGGTACTATTAACCAAACAAATAATTACCATATATGTATATTATATATTGCCTTATGAGCTTTGGGCTTATGTTTGTTTCAGGGAATATAAAGTAAAGGACTTTTACAGGGACTTGTTTTTTCAGGCCTGAAAAGTTAAAGTTGTCTCTGACACATATTGAAGATTATTTTATTCCTCATCGTCCTTCCCATTTGCTTGAAATGCTTACTTAGCAGATGCTTAATTGTCTTGAACATTAATGGTCCAAAACTTGGATTTCTTCTGAATTTTTATGCAGATGTCAGCTTTGAAGGAGGTGCCGTGCTGAGTGATTTTGATTTAAACTTACATTTTTATACAATATTCACTAATTGAAGTGCCAGCTGTAAGCCTCATTCGAGTTTAATCAGCTATTTTTAGCCCTCTCAAGAGCCATGTTTCTCTTGTTCTGCAACATGCATTTTGTACTCTAGTATTACGTTTGTCGTTCGAAGCCTGTCTTTTCCCCCTCTTTTTTCTTATTTGGTTGCTATGTGTTTAGTATTGGTTCCTACCTAGTAGAACAACTACCATCGTGCCTTTGCTCTTTCAGGTTTCTCAAAACACAAATTTTAGTTGTGTGTTGAAATTACTTTTTATGTAGATTTAGCGTGTATTATTTTTCAGTGTTAGCATACTGTATAGACGTATGTAAGTAGAATATGGAATTAGATAAGGAATCTATGCAAATTAGTTACTCAGTTGCAGCATTGGATGGAGTGCTCTATTATCCGTTTTGTAGGCTACTAAGGCTCAGGGTAATATCTTTTGCTGGGTTATTTTGAAAACTGCTGAAAATAAATAAAGCATATTGTAGTCCTCCAAGCAATGCTTTTCAAAAAAATTTTTTTGGGGGGTGGTTTTTCTCAAGGTGGGAACCATGTTTTATACAGTACAGTACTGTATGTATGTTTCCTAAGAGAATTCTACAGTAGTTACTGAATGCACACAATCCAAATTCTGTGTGGCTTCATTGAGTGAATGTATATTGGAGCAGGATCTGCTCAGTAGTCAGCATAGTAGAGCCCCCATTTCTAGGCCTCACTCATGACTTACACTTACATTTCTCTTAGGATTTGGGCAGTCTGTGGTTTCTGCCACTTTATATCTCTTTTTCAAGAATAAAATAAGTGTTCTGTGATGGAGAGCAGGGGTAACATAATTGAAATAATTGTGTGTAGGCCTCAAATGTTTTTAAACATAAAGAATTGCATTATTCTAGAGCAGGCTTGTCCAACCTGCGGCCCGAGGGCCGCATGCGGCCCAGGTTAGCTCGTAATGCAGCCCAGTGCAATTTTCTATTTTTAAAGAAATTCCCAAGTTTCAAGTTACACTGCCGGCGCCTGCGGCCGGAATGTGGCCGGGGCATGTCACAACAGTAGAGGGGGAGAGAGGGAAGGAAGGAAGGAGTGGGAGGGGACAGGGGGGCTGCGTGACTGCATTGAGCCGTCCCCGTCAATAGGTGGACTCCCTCCCGGCCCCATAAAGCTGCTGGAGTCGAAGCTGGCAGCCTCTGCTGTCTGAGATCGCAGCTGCCGGTAAGCGCGCTTGGAGCAGGGCTGCGGAGGACGGCTAGGGCTGCCCCCCCCATGTGGCCTAAACCAAATGTATGTGCGGGCCAAACCAAATTCTCATCTTCTAATGTGGCCCAGGGAAGGTGAAAGGTTGGACACCCCTGTTCTAAAGCTTGATAATTGCTGATGCAGATAAAGAAATCCTAAATTTTATCTTCATGGCTCTTAACTGTTTGGATTTCACTTTGGTTCTGCAATCTTCCTGATATAGTCTCCTACTCAACATTGTAGTTTGTTCAGCAAATATTGTAGTCTTGTGTGTAATGGATGACAAATTCATTTAGCAAGCTACTTTGACTTTTCTTGAGATGCATGCACTTTTTTAAACTTTTTCTTTTGAGGCATGTAGTGAAATATCTGTGATGCTGAGTGAGGCCTAAAGTAATTCTCAAAAATGACCAATATAGTAGCACAAGCATTCTTTTCTTATTGCTTCGTAGCTATGTCTGTATCTCAGCACATTGCTTATCTTTCTGCTAATAATGCTGGTCTCACTTTCCAGTTTGCCAGACCTTCCCCAGTATATTCCCATGGCACATAGGATGCTCTTTGTACATTCACCAGCCTTTCCACATTAAACTGTGCATTAACAATATGTGCATGTGTGTATGTTTCCTATGAGAGTTAGGAAGCATACATATGCTCATATACTCAGGTAATTAAGCTGGTTGTGGGTAGTTGATATCTAGCTGTATGTCTAATTTCAGTGTGTTATTATCTAAACTTCTTTACAGAATATTTTCCCCTTAGAAATAGTTATTAATGTCTTGCACAGATGAAGGATATTATAATTTATATTTCCTTGTTTTAGATTGGAAATAATAGTGGGTCATATGCTTACAGAGCACATATCAGTAGACATATTATCTTTATGTGTTCTACTACTCTTTTCATTGCCTATTTATTTACTCCCATCTATATTGTCCACTCATTATTAATTTATCTTTGTTTTTTCTTGTAGGGCAATTTTCTTTGTTTTTAGAAAGCCTTTGTATTCTGTTTGCTAATAATTTCCAGTTTACTATCTTCACTGTGGTACTAGTTAAATTGTCTCATATGCTTTTCCCCCCTCCAAGAGTTTCTCTGTGTTATATTATCTCCATATAATTCTCTAATTTTAGCATGATTGGTTGTAGTTGTTCTGGGTTGATTCATTCTATATTCTAGAACAAAGTGACTAGTTGTGGCCGTCTGGATATTCTTGGGCAGTAGGTCCTGTAATCTCATATCATTGGTACGCTGGCTAGAACTGATGGAGGTTTTAGGCAAATACATCCTGAGAGCCCTAGTTGCCCACCCTCATTTATATCTACTAAGATGCAAGAGTGAGCCTTGGGGTGTCAGTGCCTCACTTGTATACATATATTATTTAGAATAAACACAGATTTAAGAATATATTACTGTAGACAAGTAGATTCTGGTCATTATGAATCTACTTCCCTTTTTTGTTTTGATCACATAAGTAAGGCCAACTTCACATTACAGGTGGTGCGAGCAATCCAAAGCTTCCTGCTGTAATTTAGACTATGTAGAACGTGTGCTTTGGGGTGCACTGTGAACTGACTGAGAATGAATAAGTTCCACTGTACAATGAACATGTATTGAACAGTGAGCTTTACTCACTGTTCATTCTACTTATTTTTCTTTTAAAAGTTTGCTTTTGTTGCATAGTTAAAATTAGTTGGTGCATGTTTGATAGTAAGCTTCTTGTCCCAGTCATCCATTTAAGGTAGTATTTGAATTCTCTTCCTTTGTCCATAAGTTTTCTTGTATCTCCTAAAAGTCTTATTAAAAAAAAAATTGTACAGTGGTGCCTCGCATTGCGACATTAATTCGTTCCAGCGAAATTGCTATAGAACGAAAACATCGTAAAGCGAAAATAAAAAAGCCATTGAAACGCATTAAAACCTGGTTAATGAGTTCCAGTTGGCTAAGAACTCACCGTCCAGCGAAGATCCTCCATAGGGGCGGCCATTTTTGGGTGCCTATGCAGCGAAAAATGGCTCCTAAACACAGCGGGGAGCCATTTTGAGCACCCAGCAGCCATTTTGAAAACCCAACGATCAGCTGTTTTGATCATCAGGAAGTGAAAATCGGTTCCCGAAACAGGAAACTGATCATTGTGCAGCGAAATTCCCCCATTCAAAACGTCATTTTGCGATTGCTTTTGTGATCGCAAAAACCTCGTCGTAATGCGGATTCGTTGTTAAACGGAGCGCCCGTCTTGCGAAGCACCACTGTATTTAAAATGGAATCATGTGTTATTTTTCCAAGAGGTGGGTATAAATCATTAGTACTATCCCCAATATTCTTGTGATAGGAATTTACCTGAGGCTACATTTGAACTGAGAACCGTAGAGTTAATTGTTTAAGGATGTATACCAAGACCGAAGTATTGTGCACCTTGAAACTTAACATGTTTATTCAGTGTGAGCTTTCATGGATTACAGTCCACTTCATCAGAATTGGGGAGTGACCACAGTTGTCATCTACAGAACCTTACTGTGAAAGAATTGTTAGTCTGAAAGGTGTTCCAATGTTTTGTTTGTTTTTGTTTTTCTTTGTGTTGCTTTTGTTGTATGTGCGTAAACAGCCAAAAATGTAAATTAAACTTCAAGGTATGTTGAACTGTGATTTCTTCTGCTAGCAAAACTGCGTTTCTGCTGGCTGATCAGAGATTTGTTAGCACAACTGGGTGTACCCATAAAGCTGCCCTGCCCTGCTGGCAGAGATGAGCCAGAAGAAAGCCAAAAAGGTGGAGGAGTGTGTAAGAAATTGAGTTACACCAGAAACAAATCTGTCTTAATCCAGATTCCCAGCCACTATGCTGCCACAAAATTAAACCAGGATTATGACAGTCTTGGCGTCCCTAGGCTGGGAGGAGTTTTGGTTCAGCACAGCATCCACTAGTTTAGTGTCAACTCAGCCAACCCTAGGCCAACTTGGCTAGTTAGAATTGTACACTAACTGACTACCTTTTTGAAAATAGTTCAGAAAATAGTGCTGATTTACCTGACTCCAGATTTATTGGGTGAAGGGGACTACGATACGATGAAAGGTCTCCATCCAGTACTCCTGTGGTTTATGTTGATTTTTGTCTGTCTTTATTTTTGTAATGTTTCTCAGTAT